AAATCATTAAATAACGATATTTACACATATATCGATATTTAATGAAATAAGTCGATTTAACGATGTATATCGTTAAATAATGATATTTAACGATGTATATCGTTAAACAATGATATTTAACGATGTATATCGTTAAACAATGATATTTAACGACCTACATCGTTAAACAATGATATTTAACGACCTACATCGTTAAACAATGATATTTAACGATCTACATCGTTAAACAATGATATTTAACGATCTACATCGTTAAACAATATACATCGATGACTCCGATATATATCGATATATATCAAATATCTGTTTCGATATGCATCGACGACTCGGATATATATCGATATATAACTAATGATAAATATCGATACAAATCACCCCAAAAAATTTCCTGATGCATCCTTAATCTCATCCATGAAGTTATCCAATATCTTAAATCAGAACATTTACATATATCAGCCATCTTCTCACTGCTTTCTTGATCCTTTTACAGGCATTATCCGCTGAAGTAGAGAATAATGAAATATCCCTACACCCGCATTCCATTCATGAAGCTGTCCAGTCCATTTATTTTAAGACCAAAAAATATGATAATTGATAATTCATTATCACTTTTTATTAAGTACAAATGTCTTCCTTGAATGTGATAACCAGAGGTTCATTCTCACTTTATATCACTCGCATTAACCAGTAATTCTTATTTTCTCATTTTTACCCTACTCATTCACATAATACACAAATCTTGCTTCTTTGAATAATCAAAACTTGGTGATATTTTTATTATCTTGTAATAATTGAAAAAATGTGATAAATATTATGATTGGCTTGTTTTTAAATACATAATGATTAGATATTGGTTTATGTTGATGAAAAATAACTAAAATTCATTCTAGCTAATGCATCAAACACATCTACTACTACGAATAATACTATTCGACGCGCGTTCAAGGGATCTCGTGATCTAAATCACTGATTCGATTTTCACATTTACAGTAGTAATGCAACAAATAATTAAAATTTCTCAAATCGCAATATTTTCACACAGACTTAAAAACATCAAATCACAATTAATAGATTCAATTAATTTTTTGGTGATCTATCATTTCTTGTCCAATGCTACCACTGCTTAAAGACTATTTAATAATGCATTTTATTTTATCATTATGTTTTTATTTATTAGAGCCTTTACATTTTAAAGTATTGGATGTCTTTAGAGTTCCCACACTATATATTATTAATGAATCCATCGAAACATAAAGTTTCGACTTTGACATTAGCTAAAATAAGTTTTACCAAGCAACTTTAATATGACGAAAGCTTATCTAAAAGTTCACATACAATAAATAATAGTTGGATACATAATATTACACTTAATTTTTTAAATCGAAAAAATAGATACTGTATCGAGTTGAACCAAAAAAAAATAAAAAGTATTATGTTTGGAAACATTATTGTATCCAAAGAGAATTAAACAAAAACAGCATATCTTCTTGTCATTCGCTTAAATATAATTGTCTACATTCTTCTTCGGTGTATCCCAAAAGATATAAAACATATTTCAAACTATGTTGATTGATTCTTGTTCGTGCCTAAATTAAGGTGGTTAAAGAAAAGTCTAGCGTGGATTTTTAATGCTAAAAATTATTCTACCTTTTCTTGGACCCGCGGTTTAGCATTGAATGCGATCCCTAGACCAGCTTTTCCCAGCATCCATAAATCATTTGCACCGTCTCCAACTGCAATTACTTGATCGAGTGTTACACTTTCCGCTTGTGCGATTACTTCTAAAAGCTCGGCCTTTCGTTCTCCATCAACAATTGGGCCAACTGTTTCACCGGTGAGAGTAAGTCCATCAGACGATACTTTAAGCTGAAAAATTATTTAATTATAATTTTCTAAATCATGAATATCTAAATCATTAATTTACCTGATTAGCAAACGCGTAATCCAATCCCAATTCATGTTTGACATATCGAGCAAGGGGAGTGAAGCCACCTACGAAAAATAATTTATTCGAGTATTTTCAGGAAAATGGAAAAATAAAACATACCTACCAGAAATAACCGCGAGTTTAAATCCGAGCTTTTTCAATGCTCGGCAAAGAAAATGCGTTCCTTCAGTAAACGTAAGGTTTTCTTTGACGGTTTGGAAAACATTGACCGGAGTGCCTTGCAAGAGTTTTACGCGACGCCGAAGCGATTCTTTAAAGTCAATCTCTCCATTCATAGCCGCTTCTGTTATTGTCTATATAAATTATAAATTGACTGACTAATAAATACGGCTCGAAAAATTAAGACGATGACGCGTCTTTACTGTTTCGGAAAATTTACCGCTACTTTATCGACAACCCCCGCTATTCTTGCAATTTCATCAATGACTTCTTGCTGAATTAACGTGGAATCCATATCAAACACCACCAACCTTTTATGCCGTCTAAACACATCATAAGGTTGAAGAGCAACATCAGTTCCATGATCTCTGCTGAACTGGAATAATTGTTCTCGAAGTTTTTCGAAATTGGTTCCCAGCGGCACGGAAAGTTTATAATCAACACAAGAAATTTTTCCTTCGTTCAATCTCTGCATTTTTTCTACGGAAATTTTAGCATCTAACAGAATTTTGGTCCATTCATCCAAAAACTTAGCAGTAAGTCCGTTTTGATTTAGAATTGTTGCCGCGTATTTAGTACGATTATCATAAGGAGCATCTTCGAGAGATTGAGATAATGGTTTTTCGACGTTGTGAACATCGAAGGCTAAAGTACCATCCCATTTTCGTGCACCTTGAGCGAGATCACGAAATAGTTCAACGCTATTAGATGTCAAAGTGATAAGGACTCCAAAAGTGACATTATGATACAAACGAGAGAACATAAAATCCTCAATTTCACAATCATGTACAGCGACACATTCCAACACACAGCCAATAATATCAGTCCCGTGTGGTCCCGTCAAAGTAATTAGCACTTTTTGATTCGGAAGCAAAGCTGTGGGCGGAAATAATTCATTATTCGCCGTAGAAACATTACTTTTTATTGAAATCGAAGGCTGGCTTCGGTTTGTTATAGATTTTCCACCAATTGTCGCAATAAATTCATTCATCAATTTTTTCTTCAAAGAAGAGAGTTGATTAGATTCGGCAAATGGAAGCAATGATACTCGATACAAATAGGCTTCACTGATATTAAGGCCGGAATGTTTATCATGTTTTTTTAATATTTTCGTTAGTCCAGTATAATTGAGAAAAATAAAATCTTCCAATTTAACAATCGATTGAAGTAAATTCCCGAGTGTATTTTCTTTGATGTCTTGTTGTTGATATGCATCGAGAAGCTTTGAGGATTGATCGTTATAAAAACCTGAAACTTTCTGTGTTTCAACGTCAAGTAACTCCAAAAATTCCGCGATTTTCACTTGTAATGATGCCAAACGTGACGAGATTAATTGAGAAAAACTAGGCTGTTCAGAATTAATTGGTTTCCACGTGAATATTTGTTCGCTCTCACTAAGTTTTATATTTCTTCGTTCATCATCTGGCACTCGTGATGAAAAGGTGCTTAAATTCAATGTATGCAACGAAATGTGATGCTTGATAAAAAGTTTTAGAGTATTGTAGTCGATACAATGGTTATTCCAGGTTAAAGGGAGTTGTGTTTTCCGTTCTTCAAGATACTTTCCAAATTTCATAATGAATTACACAGAATAGAGATCATAGATGTTTGCGGAATATCTAGATTAATTTTTTTGGACGCGCGTTGATTATATTGATTGTGCACACTTAGGGATGAGCATTAGTTAATTAGGTTAATAATCACCGTTAATTTAAAACAACCAACCAAAATTCGTAATCGATGTACGCGTCGATCACGACTCTATAAATAAGATGGTTCCATGCTATTGATATTTATTTTTTTCGAAATTTTGTTATCGTAATGGAAACTTGTCGTCCATACGAGTCTTTGAAAATTATTGTCAATTCGTTTTTTGGCTTCACACTTTTAAATTACTTTTCTTCATCTTTGACTAAATCTTTAACTGTAAGCTATTTTCTATATGAAATCTTTTACTCGAAGAATGATTAAATGTTATTTTTTTATTTATTTTTTCGAATCAATAGAATTTTTACAATGAGCTTGACGAAGGGAAGAAAGCCATTTGGGATAACACATTAGTTAGTTACGTTCATGCCTCGATATGTTCCGTTTTGGCGCCCGTTTGGTAAGTCAAAGCGCCAAATCACAAAATATCGATCATCACCATGTAGTATACACATTACGAATCATAAATTAGTTAATATTTAATAGCACAACTTTCAAATTTATGTTGGGTTGAAATCTTTTTTAGTTTTTATTTGTATCCTGAAGTATGGAAAAACCTGATTTACACCAATATACCAATTTTCGCGTTTCAAATTGCTTTGTCTACTGGTATGCATCGCATTTATAGGATTTATTTCATTAATATTGGAGAAATTGTTAATTATGCTTTCTTTTTATTGCAGGTTACTTTGTTTATGATATGTCTGATTTCGTAGTCAAAAAGATATTTATGGATACCGTCGGAATTTGGATTCACCATATAATGGTATTATTATTTGCATTTACAAAGTTTCAAGCATCGCAATAAAATAAAACGTCACGAAATAAATAAATTAAAACACTCACCATTTTTACAGATTGTCATCATCTTCTCATCTTCGCTATACACATGTGTCTGTACCGAATACCTAACAGCCTCACTAATCGTCGAAATTAGTAATGTCTTTTTACACCAACGAAAACTTTACTTGACCTGCTTCAAAACAAAGACAACACGTTTCTACCGATTCAATTCGCTATTACTTTTCCTGACAATGACCGGTATACGAATACCGGCTCATGTCTACTTGAGTCTGAAAGTGTGGCGTGAATACGAACTTTTTCACAATCGTTTGTACTGGAGTATGGCTTTTTATGGGTTAATTACTATAAACATTTTGAATACCCAATTGTGGTTACAGTTATGGAATTCTGATTGGAAAAAAACATTTCTTGGGGGTGGTGTTGATGCTGTTTCTTCTTCGAATGTAAATAAGGAAAATGTGAAAAGTGAAATTAAAATTAACGGCAAACAAGAATAATATCCGTAATGATCTACTTTTTAATGGTGATATAATTTTGTAACATGATCATTTAAAAATACCCTTTTTGGTATATAATCGTATATGATGTTTCAAAAAAATGTTACAGCTATTCTTTAATTGGAAAATCAATGACGTTTGTTAGACAAGGCAAAAAAGTGTCGATCACGTGATTCCGATCCACCCTTAAGATTAATGTGAAACGAAAAAAATTGAAAATAGCTTACTTATGAAACAATCATTTGTGTTCTAGCAAAAATGTTCCTTGCGAAATTTTACTGTATCATGTTTATGTTCACGTTTCTATTTTAACCTTAAACCTAACCCTAATCGAAACTATTTAATATTATGCATTATAATTAAGGGTCAAATGGTTGGTGTCGGGATCGGTATCACGTGACCGATACTTTTTTTTGGGTTTTACCCATAGCGATCTTGAAGATTTTTTTACCAAACTATCGTTAAAATTGCAGTTCTCTATAGCCAAGTCCGTGGGCCGAAATATTTGGATATCAGAAGGCTGATTTGGTATGTGTACTATATCTTTGCACCGCGAAATTTCTTCGATATTACAAAATACAAATTCGTTAGAGCATTTCGGATGCGATAAGAATCTGCAAGAAGATCCATTTGAATGTAAATTCTAATTCTAAGCCAAGATAATAAAGTAGATTTATGATCTACGTAAAAAAATATTGGAATAATATGCCTAGATACTAGAATTTAGTTGAAAACAAACTTTCTTTTCCCTATGTTTGCTATAAAATTCGAATTTTTAATGCATTAATCACTTGATAATGCTCGGAGATTTCTTCTTAATCATAATTTTGATCGAGCTTTAATTTATAATTAAAATCTTTTTACTGTCAACCAAAAAATCCTAATGTCTTTGTTGTCAAATTCCTCGTGAGTGTGCATAATGGTTGGAACTTTTGGTTGCTGCATTTCTAATTCTGCCTTTTTTCTTAGTTCAGCGGGTAACATTGGAAAACTTGTCGAAACTGTGGGTAACATTGAAAAGCTTGTCGAAACTGTGACCGGTAATTTTTTGTTCAGAAATTAGGAAAAGGACGGACTGTCGAGAAGTTGCTTCAATTTCTACATTTTCTCTTTTTATCATAATTTAGAATCAATTTCCAATTTAAACTTGAGTGCCTCATCACAACCACCACAACCATCGCTCTCGCAACAAAGTGAACAAAACTACGATAATTTCTCATTGCCACAGTATAAAGATATTACAATTTTCCTCGATGAGGTCACGCGGGGTAAAAATTAATGCTCCCTTTTGCCATGTTTTCGGTTTCTCATAATTTTAAAATCATACAATTCAAAATAGATTGGTTTGATAATTATGCTCTTGTGAAAGTATAGAATTCCAAATCGGTCAACTTGTACACTTAGAATCTTTTGGGCTTTACGATGCGATGAGCTCTATTGAGGTTCGTTTTTACAAATTATGTATGATTTACTCATTTATTGATTTCGATTCGGACATCTATCTGATTTGTGTGTAAATACTTGTTTTTGTCTAGATAATGGATCCGAAAATGGATAGTGGAATGATCCTGGATAGCGACCTCACCAAAAAACCCTTAATTTTGAATGCTCGCTTGACTCCGAGACAAGTGCTCGGTGTAATTGATCGTCTATTTATCTGCGAGGTATAAATCTGAAAGCATTTTCATAGATTACATTTTTTTTGATTTTTGATTTTCTATTATTTAATATAGATGACATGGCATTCTGGTCATTCACTTTCACAAACTCTATATACGTGCATGTATCTTCATCACGTGTTGGAATTAAAAACTGAATTGTTCTCGAATGAAAGAGAGCATGAAGAAACATCGTCGGATGTGCCAATAGAGTTTGTTATTTTAGTTTTAAAAGCTTATATTCTGGGAACGGCGAAATGTTGTAATTTTGTATTAGAAGAGATGGTCAAAGGAAATGTGTACGAGGTGAGTTTCAAACTGAATTTACATATAATATATTTTTATATTTCGTCCAAATTTATCCGGTCAATTCTTTCTTTTCAATTTATGATTTGGAATCAAGGAGGAGGATTTTGCGACTAATAAATTCGCCCTAAATTTGTACGAAGATTTTCCAGAATCTTCAGCAGTCAATTTATTAGATGACGCAGAAAATTGGTTGGATCAGAAAGGTAGTTCTTGGCTTTTAGAAAATGGTAGGTGTTCATTTTTCTATTGGGTATATATTAATATAGATTTAAAACGTATTGAATGAAAATTTATTATTTGTGTCATTTATAGAACCAGAAAACTGGGAGATACTCACCCATGCATTAAAGTCTCGACTTCGGTTACGAAAGGTTTTTTAAGCTTCCATATCTACTTATAATATTAATCATAAATAATAATTCATTTGTATCATATTTAGTCGTTCCTTTTAGCTCTCATACATTTAGCTAAGCCGCGGTGTCAACAATACACAGAATCACAAAAACATCTCTTAACAACACTGCAGATTCTAACCGGGACAAATGACGAACCGGGAATCAAAGACACCATTGAGCTTGGGGTAGATGTTGACGGTGGTAGATGGTCATATACAAACTACAAATCTTCAATCGAATTCATATAAATCTCTTTGTTCTAATCATTTCGTGATACTGATATTGGAAATAGCCTTTGACCCACTGATTAATCGTAAACTTGTGTCTCAAACGCCTCCAAGACCAATTCGCCTCTTGACCATGCAACAGGTGGAAATTTTTTTATTTATTTGTTTTTCCATTGGTTTTTTTCTTAAATACTAATTATAAAATTATTTTAAAATTAGTCTCTCGAGGAAATAGATAATCTTCTTAAAAATACACTCTTGATTTGTGGAGTAATAGAATATAAATCTGCGGACATTCTAATGGTACATATCTACAATTATTTTTTGGCAGATGGTTGGAAATGAACTAGCTCACTAAATTCATTTCTAGAACTTCTTTTATTATAACGCTGCGCGCCAACCACCCGCTTGTGCATATTCGAGATCACTATTACAGGTATATATTTACTAAAAACCTTCGTGATTAGAATATTCATCAAAGTTGAGACATTTATCTTTACCATCAAAACTAGTCGACATTCTGTACAGAAAATCGTATACTGGGGAAATTTTCTATATTTCAACTGATAAAAGATTCGGTGACCGAGATTTCAAACCCTCCTTATATATATTTTGCCTCAAAGCCAGACACTGATAAGCCGACAAACGGTACAATTGTCGATGAAACGAGAGCGAAAATCCCACAATTAGTAAACAAATTTTTAGAGAGCTCCATAAAGGTATGTGAATCCTTTTACAGATTCGTTAAAAACTCTGAGTAGCATTCTCACTAATACAAATTTAAGCCTTTGACAGATATTTTTAGGATCTTATGTCACAACCGTTCAAGACAGCGACGTAACATGTGTAAAGTATTAACTGACTGGGACTTATTACAAGAAGAAGTAATATATTTATCTTTGATATTTTAGTAAATATTGATAAAATAACATAACAATTTCCCTCATTTATTATAAAAAAAGGCGGAGCATATTGATGCTGAATTACATAGTCTGATAAAAGAGGAACCGATCATGACGGAAGTGAGTCTTGGAATGAACCTATTTGATTTTCCTGAAATTTCGAGGTCCATTATTAACCAACTATTATGTTTTTTTTTTAGGATGGCCCGTCCCACTCTTATTACCTGTCTTCGTGGGTTTATCATCGGAAATTAATTTTATTACAAGAAATTTTATTCCTTGGATTTGAATTAGGCTTATATGGAAACCATGAATTCATAATGATTTATTGGTATGTCAACTTAAGTATTATAGCTTCAGATAGTTAATTGCGTAAATTTTGTCACATTTTGAATGTTTATTATTAGGTATGTTGATTACCTATTGGGCGTTCATTATCAGCATCTTGAAAGGATGCTACTGCACATTACCACAAAACCATCAGCAACCACCAAAGGTGACTAAAATAATTTAATTGACTGAAGCATCGAAAAAATAACTAAAATTTTCTCGTATAAATAACAGAATCTCGAAAAGCAAAAAAACAAAAGGCTCTTCGAGCCACACCGCCTGCGACACCATCAATCACCTTAATAATAAATAGGAAAAACATGATTACAGCACGACAGGAGATTTGTCGTGGTATATATCGGGTAAATACTTTTTCTTTATCATTTTTATTTTCTTGGATTAGAAATTAATATTCAAAGTATTATATAGACTATTGCTGGTCTCCAGAAAACTGGGCATATGACGGTACCTCGACTTGAATATGACAATGAAGGGATTCGCTTTTGGCAACGATTTCGAATGTATCGAAATCTTGGTAGTCCTACTCTGTTAAAATACCGTGAATTCAAAGAAAATACGAAATTTGAAAATTTAACGGTATGAAAATTAGATGATGTTTTTATTATGCTTAAATAAGGATTAATTTTGTCTTTTGTGGACTCGTAATGGATTCCTTGTAGGCTTTAGATCTTTTGTCTGCATCAAAGAAAAATTATGAAACAGCCAAGACGGCGATAGATCATCTGATGAAAATGAATTTGAGTGAATCGAGAATGGACTTGTGTGAAGCTGATTTCAAAAATGTATACATATTATATTACATGGCTATTTCGACCCTGCTTGCTTTTGTTTACTCATTAATTTTTTATGCTCTATTCAAAAAGGATCTAAAAGCCATGTTCCGTGTGTGCATAGCAAACATTGTCGGTTTGCAAAAAATGCTTCAAGATCCTGAAGTATTGACATCCTCAACACGAAAAGAGAAAAAATCGCAATCATCACCATCGCCATCTTCATTATCAAACACTTCATCTACAACTGATATTGCTACATCTGAACCTAAATCTTCACGAACTAAATACGTTGATTTTGAATTTAAATATCATCCGTGGTATCCAGTAATATCACTTTTGCCTTGATGGCTATATTCTTTCTAATTATTATTATTATTTTTGTTGCTAAAGTGTAGTCCTAATGATTATTATTTATTGGATAGAAAATGGCAAATACGCACACAATTTCACAGAAATAAATTTTCTAGATGTACATACATTTATTATGAATTTTGACAATTTCACATGATTTGTTTAATATTGTAAGAAGCAATTCTTGTCTTTAATTCGTAAACACAGTTATCTCTTGAAAAATCAAATTGGGTGAGAATGACTATAAAAAACATTTTTTATAAAACTATAAAGAAATTTGATTATATCTTAATTTTTTCCATTCAATTTTTGAACTATTTATATATTATTAAAATTTTATGCACCAGATATTGAATAAATAAATAATAAAAATCATAAAAAAACGATAATAAATGACTTCAATTTTTGAAATATTTATATATATTTATATATTATTTATAAAAAATTTATACACTAGATATTGAATAAATAATTAATAAAAATCATGATTTTTCAACATTGATCTTTTTACCAATAATCTTGTCTATCAACCAACCTTTTGCTCTAACCAAATCAATAATAACCATCAACCAAACTCAAGAAATTTCAAAATACATAGTTTCAATCTGTCGTGTGAAATGTTTTTGTGCCTGATGTCTTTTCAGCTTAAATGTCGGCGTGAGCAAATCATTCTCCGCACTGAACGGCTCAGGACTCAAATAAATATTTTTTATATTTTCGAAACCTTTGAGATCGTGTGCTTTGCCATACTTGGCTAAAGTTTGCAAGATGTGATTCTTAACTTTCGGTTCCTCACATAATTCTTTGAAGGATTTATCTTCAAATCCATTTTCCTTTGCCCATCTAGTTAATACTTCGTTGTCAGGAACGATTACACCAACAAGTGAAGCTTGTAAGGAATCACCGTGGACATATGCTTGCGCAACCAGTTCATGTTTCTGGTAGATCAACTCAATCTTATAAAGGATAAGTTTTATATTTTAATAATTCACATTCTCAAAAGATTATTAAATTTTAAATAACAAGAACAATATTCACCTTTTCTGGTGCAATATATTCGCCCTGGGCCAACTTAAATATATTCTTAAGTCGATCTATAATTATTAATCGCCCCTGGGAATCCCAAAGGCCGATATCTCCTGTATGACACCATCCATTTTTGTCAAGCGTTTCGTTAGTTTTCTCAGGATTTTTGTAGTATTCGCGGAACACAGTGTAACCACGAACACAAATTTCACCACGGGGAAGAGGAACATCTTGACTAGTATAATTCATATCTGGGACATCTACTAATTTCACTTCAACAGTTGGTTGTGGACCTCCCACATGACCTGCTTTAGTATCTCCATAATGAGACTGATTGATTGAGTATCAAAGGAATTCTATTAATCAAAGCGAAAATACCCTAAATCGAATACGATATAAAACATGACTTTGCTCTTACCATTGTTATACAGGCTGCATTTTCCGTTTGACCAAATCCTTCATAAACCTCCGCCGAAAAACAAATCCTTAGAAAGTCCATTACATCAGGTGAAATCGGAGCCGAACCAGATAGCATTGCACGAACTCTACCACCTAATCGTGCACGAATCGGAGTAAAGACCACGCGATCCCACAACCAATGATTGATTATCCCTCTAGACAATAAAGCCTTTTTCTGATTATATGCGGTGTTAAATGTCCATTCTGCCACACCACCTTTGGCCTTTACCCCTGCCATTACTTTGTCATAAACACGATTCAATAATCGAGGGACAGATATGAAAAGTGTCGGCTTCAATTCCGCGATATCATCTAACAATTTCAATGTATCACCTTGGTAGAATCCAATTGATGCCCCAGAATAAATCATTACCCCCTGATTACATCGCTCGTAGACGTGCGCAAGTGGTAAATAAGAGACGTGCACATCGTCTTTGGAAATCTTAAATAATTTGCCTTTTTCTCCCATAGCCGTGATACCCGCGATTAATGATACAATATTTGAATTTGTCAAAACGGCACCCTTTGGTCTACCCGTAGTACCTGATGTGTAACAGATTGTGGCTATGTCGCTAGGTTTGACGGTTTCTGGTTTAACCTGATTTCGACTTCCTTCATCTTCTACCTTAAGAAAATCTACAACCTGTACATTTAAACTTTTCCCATAATCGATAGTATCTTGATCAAGATGATCTGCTACTATTATGGTATGCAGAGTTGGCAATGATGTTTTCATGTCCAAGAGATATCGTGCCTTTGTCTGAGACGTAACAACATACTCCATATCCGTTTCGTTAACTATATGATCAATAGCTTCGACACCCAAAGTTTCATAAAGTGGAACAGTTATGAAATTATGCATATATGATGCTAGTTCTGTAATTGTCTAATTGAAAAGTAAAAACAGATATAGATTTTTATTATGTATAGGAAATAATTATTTAACAAAAAGACCTATAATATAAATTACCCATTCTGGACAATTCAACATGAGAATACCTAATGGAGCAAGGGGCTTCAATCCTAGTTTTCGTAGACCAGACCCGAGGCTGATAACACGTGTTTTCACCTCTGGATAAGTTTGCCAGACGTATGGTTGCGCGACACCATTCTCAATTGGACGATGTCCCAAGAAATTACCACCACCTTTTAAAAAAGTTATTCAAAAATATATATAGAAAATAACTTAATAATGCCTGTCGTTTCAATATTTACTACTTTCAAAAATCACAATGTACCAGACTCTTTTAAGCCATGTAAGAAATTCTCCCAGAGTGTAATGACTTCTGGGGGATGTTCAAGCAATTTGTCAACAAAGAGTGGATGACGACGAGGTTTGCCTTCGCCTGAAATCGTAGGGGCATTTGGAACTTCAACGGAGTATACAGTCGACATTTAATAATTAATAATTAATTAATTAATGAATAGTTTGAATGGGTTCAATTTATCGAATTTTCCATCATACTGTGTCGCTATATTAAAAATTTAGATTTGCATTACATAGATTTTCAATCATAACTACTTTTAGAATTTTTTTCGCGTTGAATTGTATCTCTTTTTGGGGGATTTACATACATAATCAGAGTGATACCTATTTAAGTATGGTATGATTAAGCATTTTGGTATGGTTTAACACCATACTTAATGGTAGAGTTTTTATGTAATCAATAAATATACGGATCATCTTAAGTTTATAAGCTACCGACACAAGAAAATGAAAAAAGCAAAAAATACGGGAAACAGATGCCTAAATCTAGCTTGGTACACTAAAAAAAAATGTCGGGAAGGTAATTTTACTTATAATCTTGGCTCCAGCTCTAGTCCTAACCCTAATCCTAACCTTAAAATTAACCTTTAACAATAACCTCTATTATCGTAGAATTTTTTCGGACATACCCAAATATCACATGATTCGACCCTTTTTTTCGCCATGATCCCCCACAATTATTAGTTTAATCCGGGATAATTCGATTCTATTATAAACCAGTTTTTTTTATAAAATAGTATTATAGATTTATTGATAAGAAATTAAAAAAGAAAAAGGAAAAATTAAAAGTTAAAAAATTTAAAAGAAAAAATAAGAAAATACAATAGAAAAAATAATAAATGTGGCGGATTAAAATGAAATCAGATTAAAACGAAACAGAGTGGGATGTTTAAATAATCATAGGTCAATAGATTACAGATTTTAATGCTATACTCTATGCTCTAACCCTTCTCTGAAATTTTATCCCATAAAAAAAGAGTCAAATTTTATTTTAATTTGATTTTATTATAATCTGATTTTTCTAATTCTATAATTTCTAATCTATTATCTAATCCATTTACTATACTCACAAATTCTAATAAATCTATACTATCATTAATATTATATTACAAATTCTAATAAATCTATACTATCATTAATATTATATTACAAGAAGATCCCACACCCAATTTCGTGCATCATACGTGAAGCCATCTATTCTTGAAGTTACAAAAATTCCAATTGTCTCTTTGGGTTCTCGTAAAAGGACCCCTTCAAATTCTCGAATAAAATCTACACCAATTCTTTCTTCATAATTTTTACATTGGATTAGAAATATGAATAATTGACAATAAGTATTTGTTGCATCGTTATCAAGATAAAATAAGATCGATCATATAACATATGGTACACGTTGTACTGTCAATTATTTTATTCATGTACCCTATTTAAACGATCACAAATTTCTTGTTCGAGTTGGTTTCCTTTAATATCATTAAATATTATTACGATAATTAAAGTTTTTCTTATTCTTGTTATAAGGAAGAAGTCATTTTAATAATAATTCTTGAGAGAAGAAAAATATTGTCGGAAGAAGTCATTTTAATAATAATTCTTATAATTAATAGTGTCATAATTATTAATACTACAATAGATATTTTTGATATCGATATTAGCGTTAGTGATCAAGTTTTATGACATTATGTACCAGAAAAAGAAAATCAATTCGCTAGTCTTACCAACCTTGATTTGATATTTACATCTTTGTTTTTCCAACTTTTGTCAGTTTATGCAAAAATAAATATTAATTTGTTATTTTTAACCTTCGACTTTCTATTATAGTTGCTTCTAATGGATTGTTTCAAGTGTTTTGTGTAAGAAACGATATGAACAGAGCAGTCTTTTCTTGTCACAGTTTTTCTATGTGAAATAGATCCACTAGGATTTTTTTTATCATAGAAATCCGTTGATTTTATAACTGGTTTTATTGAATTGACGATCAAGTACATATAGACAAATGCTTTGTCGAGAATCATCAGCCATTATTTTTCAATTTGCAATATTCTTTTATGGCAAAGAATTATCTCGTGTTAATTGTCATTCGACGGATTTGTTTTTTGACCAATTTGCCTTCTCGAAAGATATGCATTCAAAGAAGACGTAAATGATTCAATAATTAGTAATATAAATAACATCAATGTTCTTTCAAGGTCTAGGTATAAGCCAATTTTTGTCTAATAATAGTCACAATTTCGATTTTTGTTCTTGATCATTTTCAAACTTTTGGATAGTCTCTTCATTTTCGTATACAGTATCATACAATTCACTTAGGCGTTCTTGATCAGATGGTTTTAAGTGTTCGGTCTTTTTCATCTTTCCTAGCTTTCCTGATTCATCTAAAATCAATTCTTCAAGCATACGATGAAACTCATCATTATCGATCGAAGAAGAAAAAGATGATGATTTTTCCCTATTATCGTCGGAATTAGATGATGCTTTTTTATTGCTTGATTGTTTTAATTCTTGCAACCTTTCCATTGCCACAATTTTACCGGTTTCATCTGAAAATTTCACTTTGACTCTCTTCAATTTAGTCTCGCCCATCTCATCACTACTAGTAGTCTCTGGAGGTTTCTCTTCCCCGTCATCGTCATCATTGAAAAGAAATTCGATATCTTTTAGCTCGTAATCAGCATTATTTCCCAAAACACGAATAACTTCGCGCCATTTATCAAGAACTCTTTTAACTGTATCGGTGACTTCTTCATCAGTCAATTTTGTAGATGTATCACTTTTTGGTGATTTTTTCTCGGATTCAGAATCCTTTTCCTTATCCTCAGATAATTTCTCTTTCTCTTCTCTTTGGTTATCGGATATCGAGGCTTTAGTAGTAGCAGAATCTTCTTTTGGGTCCTGTTTGGAATTCTCCACCTCATCATTTTTCCCCGCATTAATATTATCCTCGATTTTGATAGTATTACTTTCAACTTGTTTCTTTTCGTTGCCACCTCCTACATGTTTACGCTGTTCTGATGCTGCGATTTCGTAGAATGCGTCAGAGACCACGGGATTACATTCGATAGGATTGACTTTTGAGGATGATTTACTTTGAAAAGCTGGATCACGGCATAATCGTGGAGTATTTATCACAACAAGGTAATGACACGTATTAGTCTCTTTAATTAATGCTATATTATCTTCACGTAATTGTGGACTACAATGAAACTATAAAAAATAATAATCAGCCATATGTAACATTAAATATAATTCTATAGGTCAAAAAAGATAATTATAAATTACCTGAATTTCTACTTTTCTTGGTTTCCCCGTTAAATCACAAGTGGTCCCGTCGCTCCATCGTAAGACTAAATATTTTTTCTCACCGGTTGCTTGCACTTCTGTTCCCAGTTGTTCCTGGGTGTGTTGTCCTTGCTTGTCGACTTTCTCGGAAGGTGGCAATGTTGCTTGTTTTGGATCATACCTGCCCAAGTAGTACGACGCAGCATTGGGATCCTCTGTTAATATTGTTCCACTCGCTTCAAGGATTTGATGGAATTGTCGGATATGGCTAATAGAAGATCGGGGAAAACCATCTTTTATTTGTTTTTTATTATCTCTAACTCAAAAGTTTCATATAGATTTATCTTACTTGAGATGGCAATATTCATATGTCCACCATCCAATTCGCTATTTAATTAATCAAAGATTGAAATCAGCAAATAAATAGAGATCCTGTCAACGCTGCAGATATCCACACTTACAAGATGTATACATTTATTCTTCATGGGTTCCAAGAGTTCCAATCCTCTTCTCAAAATATTTACGTTGTCGTTTTTATTAATATCTGTTTTAATTCTCTCCATTAATGTGTTATTTATGGTTGGAGGTATCTGGCATAAATATCGTTGTCCCGAGGAGGTACGCATAACAATAAAAGTCGGTTTCATGTCTTCTTTATCATCCAATGGCATTTTATATTTTGCAACACTGGGAACTACGCTGGACATCTCCTGAGAAGGATATATTTATGTTTGCTCATGTGAATATAACGCATTTTATCATGAATTATATAAGGAAATTAATATTAAGTTCTCTAACCTTTTCTTCATTTTTTGAAAGTAAAGCCTCGAGACTACTATTTGACACAAAGCGTGTGCTACTCAAAAGCACTTTGTATCGAGGATGTGCTTGTAAATCTTCATATACCCATGAAATTGAAAAAGCGCCCACATATATACTCAAAACCGATCGCAATAAATTGATAAGAGGAAAAATCAAAATGCAGTAAAAAAGTAAATTTGACTTGAACAAAGTCGCCATTACGAAAACTCAACAAGGATAATTTTTATATAATTTGGGTGTTCTTGAAGACGGTTCGAGATCATTGCTAAATTGAATAACTATCCCCAACAAAATTCCACGCTCACATGATTAAAAACGTGGCTCGACCAATCAAATCGAAAAGAGCTTATATCTCGAAATTTTGCTACATATCGATATATATATACTCTTTGCCATATAACAAGAACCTGATCCTAACCAAAACTCTAATTAATATACAATCAAATATCTCTATAGTCACATCTCTCTATAATTATCAAATTTTGCTTTTCCAAATTTTTAATTAATAAAAAAATCTTTATATAGTCACATCTCCTTTATAATCACTATTACTGTTAAATAATTTTTATAATATATCTAATTTGAATAATACATTTAGATAATAGATTAACATTTATAATATAATAAATATATGCATCAAATAAATATATATATATTAAAATTAAACTAAATAATTAATTAATAAATAATTGGTTAATAATGATAACTATAAAGAGATTTTTTTATTAATAAAAATTTGGTCAATGTACAAATAATAACTATAGAGAAATTTTACAATATTATCTTTACATTCTAAAATCAAAGTTATAAATAATATTAAAAAATGTTCTGTAATAATCAAAGCACTTTGTAAAAAAATTTATATATATAATAAATAATATTTATTATAAATTATCTTTTTCTTGTTTTACTATATCTAAAATTATTAAAAATTTAAATATTTATTTAGCATTAAATGAAACTAGTCAAGTAATAACAATAACTTATTTGAAATGTTAAAAATTTTCAATAAAGTATTAAAATTATGAATAACACAAGCTATTGCTACTGGAATGATTATTTCAGATAATATTCTTAAAAAAAAAGCAAAAATTTTTGCTGATAGATTTGGAGTTATATATATTACTTTTTTTAATAATTAACTAACAAAATTTAAAAAGAACAGATATTTATTGACAAAAACTTCAAGATAAAGCAGCTAATGCACCAATAAAAATATTACCAACTAAAAAAAATGATTACAAGAAATATTAAGTTTATATTTACTTAATAATATATATAATACTGATGAAATAGAACTATTTTTCATATGATACCTAATGAAACTTTAGCATTTGGTCCAATTTTTGAAATTAAAAAAATAATAATTACTTAATTAATAATTATTTTAAGAACAAAACTTGAATTACTATTTTGCTTGTAACTAATATATCTAAAACAGATAAATTTAAATATTTTGTTATTAATAAATTATATATATTTTCTGAAATTAATATTTTAACTCTTTTTATAATATATAAAGCAAATTTTAAAATCTGAATGAAAAATAATATTTTTAATAATTAATTATAATATCTTGATATTGATTTTCAAATTCAACAATGATATATAATAATACTTGTAAATAATATATCTAGTTACAAATTTATCAAATTAACTAATCATAAAAATAAAATAAAGAATCAGATTCAGAATTAAATCTATTTTGTTATAAAATTTATTTAATAATGAGAATGAAAATAATAATAATAATAATAATAATAATAATAATAATAATAATAATAATAATAATAATAATAATAATAATAATAA